TAACCCCGAGCTGTGGAAGAGGTTAGAGGGTCAGAGCAGACTTCCAAGAAGACATAACATCTATTTCAGCTGAGATCTGATGAATGAATAGAAATTATTCAGGTTAAAGTGACATATCAGTTAGCTACTGCTACAATACTCTTCATAACAAACATTCACACTATCTCAGTGGCATGTGACAATACCATTTACCTAAGTCCTGCTTTTGTGGCTTGGCTAATGGAGGGGGGGTCAGCTGATTTTGGCTGGATTTGGCTGCGTGACTCTACTGATCTTCTCTGTGCTCACACATCTACCTTCTGCCAAGAGGTCAGGCTGGGCCTGATTGGGCAACTCTGCTCCCTGAGTCTCTTACCCTCCTCTGGGAGTAGCAGGTTACCTTTGGCATGATCTTCTAATGGTGATGGAAAAAGCAGAAGAAAGCCGGAACACACTTTCCAAGGTTTGGTCTTGTCATTCTTGCCAGGCTTTCACTGATTGAAGGAAGTCACAAGTCTGTACTCAAGGCTCAGGGGCAGGGAAATATATTCTACCTCTTCTGTAGGATAATATCCTGCTGCTCCTCAGAATGGAAGCCATCAGTGCAATCCAGCAAACATGGGTGGGTGCCGTGGTGGTGTTGTGGGACAGAGAACAGCAAGTATGGGTAGAACTTGGCACACCGAGAACTGCTAGGGGAGCATGAATATGAGGCGGGCTTGCAAGGCTGGAGACTGCTGGGCAGGCCTGCATGGGAAGATGAGGAAGGATCTTCACTATCAGCCCAGCCTATGGATTTTATCCACAGGGCAGTGAGGAAGCAGTGGGGATATAAACAGGCAGTGATATGGCCAGGTTTACCTGAGAGTTGTCCCTCTAGAGTCATCCTTGGCCCAGTGGTCAGGGCCTGAGCAAGCCTGTAGTTTCCAGTGGGCCTCCTGCCCACTTCTGGCTCTGGAAGATCCTGAGGGTAAGGCTATTATCCTTTCCATTTCGTTCCTACTGCTGAATCCCCAGCTGGTGCCTGGGTCCAGGTGTCTGGCCTGGAGTGCCAAAATTGCACTGTCAATGGCTCCTGGCCAGCCCGTATTTGGATTTCCCTCTCTCTGTTCCAATCCACCTCATCAGTGGTGCCTTTTGTAAAGCTTGGGGAGTAGGGGCACAGTGGGCTGGTCATGGCTTTGTGACTGATTCCTTGGTTCAGGATAACCTGCTGCTGCTGCTGCTGCTGCTGCTCACTGGCCATAGCTTGAGAACTCACTGAGGTTCTGTGAACTCCAGTGCTGCATGTGGAGAATGGGAACTATGACGACTGTACCGCTGCCATCTCCCACCTTTTCTGTGCTGGGTCTGAGCATCCTCCTCATCCTTGCTGTGCGGGTGCTGGAGCTGCCGGTTGCTGAGAGCTTGCTGTGGACCAAATGGAGCTGACTCACAGTGAACAGTACTTCTTCAACCCACATGCATTCCTGAGGTCCCTCTTCTTCCCTCCAGGTACCTATCTCCTGATTTGGAGACAGCCGTGAGGACCAAAGGAAATGGCACACATGTGGGTGTCTGGGTGCTGATAATGACTAGGGTTAGGGTAGGGACATAGGAAGGGCCGGGCAGATTCTCTCACTTCACTTTGGGAAAAGTAGCTCAGTTAAGACAAAACTCTTAGGATTCTGGGATCTAAGAGAGCAGGGTTGAATCCCAGGTTGAATCCCTTCCCATTTTGATCGAGAAACTTAGCTGCTTTGAAATTCAGTTTCCTTATATTCAAAATGGGTGAAGACTCTCTGCCTTGAAGATTCTCTGCCTTGAAGATTCTGTAAGATGAGGACTATTAAGAAACAGCAGACAGCGTTAGGGTGCAGGACGCACTGTGCTGTACTGATTGTGATGCGGTTAGATGGTAGCCTGCCTCATAGGACGTTCTCGAAAGTGGAACTTCATGTTCTGATTTTATGTTTATTTAACCACCATCCAATGGCTTTTCAGGGTAAGTAAGGAGGGCTATGGTCATCCAGGGGAGAAACTGAGGTTCACAGTGTCAAGTGACTCCCCATGGCCCCTGAGTAACTAAATCTCTAGGTGGATCCTGACCCTGGGCTTGTCTGACACTGGGTTCTTGTTCACCCCCAGGCTCTTGGGCTCCTGACCCAGCCGCCTGCCCCTCAGGCATCTTTGTGCCTAGCAGCCTGGGACAGTCCTCTGTCCTGGGCCTGGCCCTCTGCACCTTCTGCCCCTCATACCGGCTCCCCAGAGTCTGCTCTTGGCCAAGGGGCACACTGCAGTGAATCAGCCTCCTTTGTGGCGTTGATTAGAGGCCTCCTCCTACAAACATCAAAGCTTCAATTAACATGGGCCGCTTGCAACCCTCTTGCAAAACTCTGATAAGAATAGAATTTTCTCTTGGAAAATGGATTTTTATTTAGTTGTGTGTACTGTTGGTTAAATGACCTACTCTATACACTGGCGCTGAGATTCCAGGGACAATTAGGGGGCTCGTCAGGAACTGGTTATCTGAAGGAAACAGGCGCCGGGCTGTTTAGCTGTCTAATATCCTGACGGGGCGGGGGGAAGGCAAATTAAAAACAGGTTTCTCCCCTTCTGAGATGTGGGGAGCTGAGGGGCTGTGCTGAGATTTGGGTTTGTGGGGAAAGTTGGGGTAGTCCCAGCTTTTGCGGGGATGTGGCTGGGCTGTGGCCCTGGTTTTGTGTGTAGACTGCTCTGTGTATGTGTTGTGTGTGTGTGTGTGCATCTGTGCGTATGTGTGCATGTGTACAGAAGTTTCTGAAGCTCTCCAGCGCATCGCCTGGCCTCAAGGAGGCTCCAGGGGAAGCTGGCTGGGTGAAGAGGGGGTGGGATTCAAGAACAGAGCAGGAATGAGTACCCAAGCTGGGGACCATGGTTGGCTGTGGTTTGTGGGCCCCTTTTTTGATGACCACTCCTCGCATTAAACTTGGCATTGTCTGAGAGTATGGCGTGAGGTAAATTTTAGCAAATGCCATCTCCCTAATTTTACTGCTTTTGGGGAAGGGAGACACCCCCACACCCCGCCTGGGATTCCTGAGTAGTCACTGAGCCAGCAATACTGACTTAATCCATCATCAGGCTTGAATTTTTTGGTTCTCAAGACCCTACTGGAAACCAGAGTCCTTTATTTTCTGCAGCCCCCCTTAAGCCTCCATCTACCACCAAAGAAGTTATTCCTATTGTCTGACCACATCCGCCAGCTGCTGGTGAATCTATCTGCAATGAAATAGATAGATTTGAGAAGGGGAGTGGGGGCCTTAGGGTTAGCAGAGCGGCCTGGCTGGGAGGGGCTGTCTGGGCTTGGGGAGGGGTGGCAACGTAGCTGGGGAGGCAGGGGGCAGGAGCAGAAAGAAGAGCTTGCCGGGCAGCTCCTCTTCCTAGAGCCGGGGAGGCCTGGCGTAGCATGCCTGTATTGATTCAATTATTCCCTACAATGTAATACTCTGCATTTGTGTGATAGCAACAAACAGAGTTGAAAGACATACAAAAATAAATGATCTGAAAGTTAATATGGCTGAATGGGCATCTATGAATTCGAGGAGAGAGGTTTTGTTTTACATTGTAAAATCAATAGCTTGCAGAACAATGTCCTAACTTCCCTTGGGGACCCCAGCGAACCCGCCCGTATCGATCGCCATGCAAATTAATTGAATTCATGAAATCCACATTGCTGGGTAATTGATGCTTCTTATAATTACCTCCGAGTTATGAGCTTTTAGGGGATTGCATTGATTCCTGGGCAGTGGGGAGGGCAGGGCAAGGGAGGAGATGTGGCTTCCTGGAACTGCAGCAGAGCTGCGTAGGTGGACAGTGGGCAGGTGGGGGATGGTCAAGGCTTGAGGGAGGGCAGGTGCTGTGTGTTGATGGGAGGCAGAGGTGGTGGGATCTCACAGAGTTCACTGACCCAGCCCAGGAGGATCTGTGAGCTGGGAGTCTTCGGCAGGGACACCTGGACATTTGAAAGGAGCCCTAGCAGGACGGCTACCTTGTCACTTGGGGCTCCCAGGATGTCAAAATGCCCTTCAGAGGGTAATAACAGCAAACATTCATTCAGCATGTATTATGTGGCAAGCATTGTTCTGAGTATTTAACATGTAACTCACTGAGTCTTCAGAACAATTTATGAGGTATGTACTACTCTTGTCTCCTTTGGTTGTTGAAGGAATCAAGTACAGAGAGGTTAAGTATGTTTTCCAAGATCACACAGTGGCAGGGTTAGAATCCTTGAGCACCCGCTACTTCTTGAATGGGCTGCAGGAGTCAAGCCCTAGAGATCCCTGGAGCAGTCTACATGTTGATGTGTGTGAGTATTTTTTGGAGAGAAGGTCTGCAAATTTCATCAGATTATCGCTGGTGCAACCATCTGCTATATAAACACTGCTTCAGTTGTTAATACTTTATATTTGTACAGTGATGAGTGTTTGAATTTACATCTTGCAGGACCTAACTGTGTGACCTAGGAGAAGTCACCAAACTTCCCCGACTGCAAAACCAGGCACTTGGGGTGGCTGCTTTCCAGGTTGCTATGTAGCTCTGACATCTGCAGCGAGGCGAACATGTGCTCACATGCACCTCCCAGGAAGCCATGAGCTGAGAGGAAAAAGTGATCCCTGTTTCACAGATGAGAAACTTAGACCCAGAAGGGCTAGATCTCTTGCAGAAGGTCACTTGGCACATTGTGGGGAGGACATGATGAGGACAAGTGGAGCCAGTCTCTAAGCCAGGAATCCTCAGGCCTCTGTCCTTGGGATGCTCTGCATAGATCTGTAAAACCTCAGGGGAAGTCAGAGGTCAGATCCTGGAGCCTCTTCTGCTGTCTGACTACCTTAGAGCCACAGGAGAGCTTGGCTGTGAAGCGCCCTTCTCTCCACTGCTACTGCTGGAGAAAGTTGCCTCCCTCCCTGAGCCCAGCACTTCTACCCGCAGGATGAGCTGACTTTGGGTTCTGTGGCCAGAGATGGAAACCAGCATTGTTTTTCACTATAGGATGCACAGGCTGGGTTGCAGACCAGAGGCGGGCAAAGTTTCATGACAGAGACTGTCTCCAGGATGCTTCCCAGAAAGTGCCTGCACGATACCAGCCCTCTTCTCTTCCTTCCCTGGACTTGGCAGGTGAGGGCTGCAGTTTACGGCATCCTTCTCTTTCTTCTGGCTCTGCTTTGGTCCAGAGAAACCTGTCTCCTGATTGCTGCAGTCTGGCCTGGTGGAGATGCAGCACCATGAGTCACTGCCCATGCTGGGGATTCGGCCTTGCTCCATGTCCTTGCCAAGGCTGGCCGGGCTGGCCAGGTGGCAGCACGGCACGAAGAGTGGGGCTCGGAGTTCAAGGTGGTGGCTGGGAAGGATAGGCAGCTCAGCCCCACCTCTAGCTGGAGCATCTGCTGGGCTATTGAGGGCTTGGGGTGGTGAGGATGCAGCCATGAGCCCCTTGGTGGGACAAGGTGGCGGTTCTGGCTCTCCACTCCCTGAAACTTTGGGACTGGCAGGTTACCTACTCTCCATAGGGCTTCTGCCTGGTGGCAGGGTGCACAGCATGCTCAGGGCTCTCGCTGTTGCCACAGCCTCCTCGCCAACCCCAGCCCATGGTAGGGTCTTTCATAGGGTCTTTCCTGGCACCAGAGTCACACTCTTGGGTTGGGGCCCCAGGAGGCTTCCATGACTCATCGGCCTCTACAGGTGACCCGCTGCTGGGTGGAGCCTTTCTGACTCTCCCAGTGTGTAGGTCATAAGTTCCTACATGACTGTGAAGCTCATCTTCTAGACTAAATGAATCTTGAGAGATGAGAGAGATCTTATAATATCATCTAATCTACCCTCCCCATCAAAATAATACTCAAAGAGGTCATAGGACTTTCCAAGGTCACATGGCCAATGGATGTCAGAATTGAATCTTCAGTCCAAAGTGTTTGACTTAAGTCCAGGCCTCTTTTTGTGACACCAAGATAATCTGTCAGCTACTAAGCTGCTGTTTCCTCTCTGGGCGTCTCTGAGATAGAGGGCTGGGCAGTGGTGATGGTACTGGGGGAGTCCTGGGTAGAATCTCAGTTCCTCTTCCCCATCCCTTATGCTCATCCCAGAAAATCCCAAGCTTTCAGAGGCATTGAGAACATGGTTGAAGGCTTCTGCTTGCTTGGCTATATCTTCCCCTCCAACTGCTGGCCCCTTGGACCATGAAGAGTATAGGCTACTAGATCTAGCTAGGACTCCTCTTACTATGCCTTCTTGGGAGAACAGCCTAGCATCTTTCAGCATCCTGTAAGGCAGTGGTGGTGCTAAGGCAGTGCAGAATTAATTGCAAGATGGTTGATGTTCCTCTCTTTCTCTGCAGGAGAGGAATTGTCTGTGTCCACACTAAGCCCCAGAAATGTCTAGGGTGAAGTCTGACATGAGTCCTGGCATGAAGGATGCTCTCAAATAATCTACACATGCAATGGATGCATCAATTCACCCATTAACCTATATTCCTACACTCCCATCCATCCATCCATCCACGCATCCATCCATCCATCCATCTACCCATCCGTCCACCCATCCACCCATCCGTCCACCCATCCATCCATCCATCCA